TACGAGAATCGTCAAGTTGGCAGCATAATCGCAAGCGGTATTCAGAAATCTGGACCGTGGCTCGCTCGACCGAGACCTAACCAATAAAACGAATCGCTGGCATACATCCGATCACACATTTATTATCCCGCACCGGCAACTCTTTTTTATCCTCTACTCCATCATCAATGATCTTACTCGATGGTCAGTGAGTAACCAGACGTGAAGCGTTTCTATATATCGGGATCAACTTGTAACGGGGTTCTCCTGAGATATGTGCATAACGTATCGCCGACTTCGTCTTTACCGGACAGATGGCGGCACTGAACAAATGGGGGGGGGAAGTCTAGAAACGACTTACTGGAATACAATAAAACCCTTACTGGAATACAATGGAGTACAATAAAAAAAGGATACAATAAAACCCGAATTTAGGAGTATAATGAAGATGTAGTCAATGTATTTGGCTTGGAACTCTACCGAGTATGTTGCTAAGCATGATTTAGTTGATGGTGGATTAGTTGATCGTGGATTAGTTGATCGTGGATTACTTAATCGTGGATTAGTTGATCGTGGATTACTTGATCGTGGATTACTTGATCGTGGATTACTTGATCGTGGATTACTTGATCGTGGATTACTTGATCGTGGATTACTTGATTTGATCGTGGATTACTTGATCGTGGATTACTTGATCGTGGATTACTTGATCGTGGATTACTTGATCGTGGATTACTTGATCGTGGATTACTTGATCGTGGATTACTTCATCATGGATTACTTTATCATGGATTACTTTATCATGTATTACTTTATCATGGATTACTGTATCAGGGATTACTGTATGATGGATTACTTAACCGTGGATTACTTAATCGTGGATTACTTGATCGTGGATTACGTTATCATGGATTACTTTATCATGGATTACTTTATCATGGATTACTTTATCATGGATTACTTTATCATGGATTACGTAACCGTGGATTACTTAACCATCGATGACTTAATCGAGGATTACTTAACCGTGGATTAGTTGATGGAGAAGCTGACGAAGTGAAGAAAAGTCGTTCAAAAATACGTTCGGTCAGGAAGGTTCCACTTTTAAGTATCCTCTTCCATGAATACAATTTTTAACTAAGATGTTGAACTTTGTATCACTAAAGATAATACTTAATCATTCAAATGTATGGTACTAGGAAAAACATCGAATATAGAGAGGTTTTGTAATAATTGTAAATCAGTCGCGCGGGTTTAACGGCGCGTTCGAATCTAAAGTGGAACCCCATCCTGACGCGGCACTTCTGGGAACCACTTCGACAGATTTCACAAGACCTGATTTTACTGGAGAACGGTCAAGTGTTAGAAAGATGAGCCCCAGATAAATTGCGTTAAGCCAAGGATCGATTTTCGAATTGAACTACACGCGAGCTCGGTAATTACACGACCCTCAGGCCGCTTAATGATTATAAAACGTACAAACTATGATTAGGGTAATTCATCAGAGCTCTATACCGCGCTGGAATAAAAAGTGGAACTCTAAGATGGCGCGGAACTTCACGACGCCACCTCGTTAGCTCTTTTTCGATTTTTCTTGATCTCACCAACACTTATTTCGTAAAAAATGAAAATACACTTTGGCAAACATTAAAAATGGAAAAAATGGACTCAACGTTGAGTTCCACTTCCGATTTGCGGTCTGACACGGACATCCGATGAAGGTGGAACTTAAGCTTACGTTCGTGGCCATGAAACCTCAGACCAGATGGTAGAAATTGTTTGCCTCGATTGAAAGTAACCGGCAATATGATCTACTTTCTGACAAGTGCAGTTTGAGACCAGAGAGAGTGTTCCTGTATGCAAAATTCTGGGAAATAGCGTCGTTACGAAGACATAATTTGACGGTTTCCTTCTTTATTCTTCTTCTTCTTTATTCGCATTATAAATGGAATTTTATATTTTTCTTCGTAGTCTCACTTTGTAAATGACATTTTGATTGCACTGCAACAGTACAGTTGCAATTCTCCATTTCCAAAAACTTTAAAAAAAATATATGATATCGATTCATTGATTCAAATATCGCGCCACAATATTCGCATCGACAATCACGGTTTAAATCTTCTTTATTCGCATTATAAATGGAATTTTATATTTTTCTTCATAGCCTCACTTTGTAAATGACATTTTTATTGCACTGAAACAGTACAGTTGCAATTCTCCATTTCCAAAAACTTTAAAAAAAAATATATGATATCGATTCATTGATTCAAGATGGCGCCAAAATCATCGCATCGATAATCACGGTTTCCTAATCTTCTCTATTAGCATTATAAATGGATTCTATTTTTCTTTTTCATAGTCTCACTTTGTAGCTTACATTTTGCACTGCAACAAAGTTGCAATTCTCCATTTCCAAAAAGTTAAAAAACAATATATGAAAGCGATTCTGCGATTCAAGATGGCGGCAAGATCATCGCATCGACAACCACGGTTTTCCAATCTTCTTTGTTCGCATTTCAAATGGAATTCCACATTTTTTCACATAGTTTCTCATGTTATTGCAACAGTACAGTTGCAATTCTCCATTTCCATAAAGTTTATGAGCAATACATGAAATCGCATGATTCCTCGATTCAAGATGGCGTCCAAATTTATCGACGCCGACAATCGCAGTTTGAAGGATTTCTCGAGATGATTACATCTAAAATGAACGATACCAACAAGCGCAATTTCCTAACCTTCTTCCTCTCCTACGCCTCACATGAAACCGTACATTCTTTTTTTAAAACACCGCACAAAATTCATTTCTATAAGACGTAAAAACCTGCACATAATGGTACAGAATTTCTATATTTTCCTCCATTTTCTTGTTCATTGTTCCTCACGTTACAATAAATATTTCGTGATTTGAAAGGGTCATTCTACATATATAAATCATTATTTCATGGCGTATTATACTTACCCAACCCTGGGGGTCTATTACGTAAAGTAAATTAAGCGAAAATGTGAAAAATGAGGAGCTCGCGGTATTACGGAACGTTTTTGGGGGTGAAAATGCGAGACCATTCATATAGCGAATAAGTAATTCAGCGAATAAACCCACGTGAGATGAAAGTGCGAGAAGTGAGCGCTCTCGTCAAAAATCCGTCATAAACGCCCTTTATTTGGCAATATTACTAGACCGAAAATGCTAATGATCTCGTTCTTTCATACAGCTAATACGTAATTCGGCGAATAAACTCACGTGAGATGAAAGTGCGAGAAGTGAGCGCTCTCGTCAAAAATACGTAATAAACACTCTTTATTTTGTAATATTATCAGACCGAAAATGCTAGTGATCTCGTTCTTTCATATTGCGAATACGTAATTCGGGGAATAAAGTCACGTGAGATGAAAATACGAGAAGTGAGCGCTCTCGTGAAAAATACATAATTAACGCCCTGATCATGGCGTATATTTCGTCCTTATCGCAACAGAGTCGCTGCAAGCGGTCACTCCGTATATAAAAAAATTCAAACGCTACGTACACGCATACGGAAACGCGGGATTCCTCGATACATAGTAAGGCCGTTTCCACGGTCCCTATTCACGAGGTGGCGTGCGTGCGCCCTTCTGCGTACCCGCGCGCCCCCTGGTGGGAGGCGCGCCGTGTGAGTGCGCATTGTGTGCGCGCGCAGCCGCGCACGCGTGGCCCGGGGCTACGTGTGTACGTGAGACTAGCCAAGGCGGGTCAATGCCTCTCCTGTCCTCCGGCTGCACCGAGCTACCTCCGCGTTATGTCCTCAGGCGGAGTTTTTCAATTCTCCAGAATTTAAGGTTAAGTGAAACACCCTTCAAATCAGTCGATTCGAATACAACACTTTTTTTTAAGGGTATTAGACCAAACTGTCCGAAACTTTGACACGTCACTCCTGATCATCTAAGAATTGTCCTGCCACATTCAAAATTTGGATTTTTGGAAAACATTTTTTAACTCAGACCAGACCAGAATCAAAATGGCGTCGAGCTCTCGTATTTCGATCGATATACAATGATCGAAGGCTCTGGTATTAGAATCGAAAGGGTTAGGAGGATTTTACGACAATTTAGAACACTCTGGTAATTGATAAACTCGCATTTCAATGGGATAAAGGCAAAAAAAGTGTTGTATGCGCATTTATGCTAAAACGATAAGAATACGAGGTCTCGGAGTGAAAATTTAATTGACCTGGAAATCACAGATGGCGCAGGGGGTCCCTCTGCAGTCAATTAGGGCCTCAAAAAGCACGAATCCAGGGGATTTCTGGAGTTTTACTTGGATTTCTTTATAATTATTGTACAAAAACGACATATAGAGTATGTCATTTAGTCCAATACTCAACATAATTCCACACGGCTGTCGACATAAATTCCAACATCGGCAACGTAGGTATTTAGAAAAATCTTCTTTACCGACGTCGATCAAATTTCTGTCTCACCACCTTAAAATGGTTGAAAAGTAAATGAAATGCGTCAAATTGCAATTTTGCCGACTTGACGCATTTTTTTTGCTCTAATATGAGGAACGAAAGGGTCAGGACAATTTTACGACAATTTAGAACACTCTGGTAATCGATAAACTCGCATTTGAACGGGATAAAGGCAAAAAAAGTGTTGTATGCGCTTGTATGCCAAAACGATGGGAATACGAGGTCTCGGAGTGAAAATTTAATTGACCTGGAAATCACAGATGGCGCAGGGGGTCCCTCTGCAGTCAATTAGGGCCCCAGAAAGCATGAATCCAGAGGATTTCTGGAGTTTTACTTCGATTTCTTTATAATTATTGTACGAAAACGACAGGTGGAGTATGCCATTTGGTACAATACCCAATATAATTCGACCCAGCTGTCGATATAAAAACCAACGACGGCAGCGTAGGCATTTAGAAAAATCTTCTTTATCGACGTCGATCAAGTCCCTCGACGTGTTTCACTTCACCTTAAGATGATGTAAAAGTGTGATATATACATAATTAACAACTGTTCTCTTCTTTTTTGTTGCAGCGAATCGGATATGGTGCCCAACGTGGAAGAAGAACCTCGTATGGTGAAGCCATGGGGATCTCAAATAGAAAAAGTAAGAAAATGGCAACATCAAACAAAACTATGATTTATACTGTAAAGCATATTTAACATGCACTTTTTATTATNTTAACATTTCATTATGTGGATTTTACTTGCAACAAATTTACTTGTTAATTTAGCAACAATTCTTTCTAAAGAAAGCTTTCTCATCGCCATATCTATAATTCCAAACATTTTTATTGTTGATGCGATTATTTCTGCAGTAACTGCGAAACTTCAACAATGCTCTCCTTTGTTAAAAGTGCAAATCTCTTTTTCTTTTTATTGTAAGAAGCGATATGAAAACAACCATGAAGGATTCTTAAGAAGGGGCCTTTTTTACATTTTTACTGGCGCACATAAAGTAATGAAAATATTGCCGAAACCGCGCTCATTGTCCACCATTGTTGTAACGGGTTCTTTACGCAACCCTAACGGAACTCGGACATGAACGACCTAAGTGCTCCTGCAAAATGTAAATTTTACTCAACAGTATTGCAGTATTACAGTTATCTCGTCACACTTGCCACAGAAGCGAATTAAGTCCGTTCAAATTGCGAATTTACGCTATGTATACATCACACTTTCATATCACCTTAATCCGTAATACCTCATAACGTATTAATCCCTGATTAACTTTTTGTTATGTATACATCCCACTTTCATATCACCTTAAGGCGTAATTGCTCACAACGTGATAATCCCTGATTAACTTTTTGTTATGTGTACGTCACACTTTCATATCACCTTAAGGCGTAATTGCTCACAACGTGATAATCCCTGATTAACTTTTTGTTATGTGTACGTCACACTTTCATATCACCTTAATCCATAATACCTCACAACGTGATAATTCCTGATTAACTTTTTGTTATGTATACATCCCACTTTCATATCACCTTAAGGCGTAATTGCTCATATCGTGTTAATCCCTGATTAACTTTTTGTTACTTATACATCACACTTTCATATCACCTTAAGACGTAATTGCTCATAACGTGTTAATCCCTGATTAACTTTTTACTATGTATACATCACACTTTCATATCACCTTAATCCGTAATACCTCATAACTTGTTAATCCCTGATTAACTTTTTGTTATGTATACATCACACTTTCATATCACCTTAATCCGTAATACCTCATAACTTGTTAATCCCTGATTAACTTTTTGTTATGTATACATCCCACTTTCATATCACCTTAATCCGTAATACCTCCTAACGTGTTAATCCCTAATTGACCTTTTGTTATGTATTCATCACACTTTCATATCACCTTAATCCATAATACCTCCTAAGTGTTAATCCCTGAATAACTTTTTGTTATGTATACATCCCACTTTCATATCACCTTAATCCGTAATACCTCATAACGTGTTAATCCCTAATTGACCTTTTGTTATGTATACATCCCACTTTCATATCATAACGTGTTAATCCCTAATTGACCTTTTGTTATGTATACATCCCACTTTCATATCACCTTAATCCGTAATTGCTCATAACGTGTTAATCCCTGATTAACTTTATGTTATGTATGCATCACACTTTCATATCACCTTAATCCATATTACCTCCTAACGTGTTAATCTCTGATTAACTTTTTGTTATGTATACATCCCACTTTCATATCACCTTAAGACGTAATACCTCATAACGTGTTAATTCCTTATAGGAACGCCAGAGGCCGCCCACGTACAACGCCGAGGACTATGCACTGGCCTTAAGAAGATGGGGAAGGCGATCGTTGGGGTCGACCCAGGATTCCCAGAGTACGTTGCCTTCGACCGCCAGCTTCAGTTCCGGATACGCATCCGGAAGTGGCGAAATGACTCTGCGGCAATTCACCTCGGTGAGCGAATTGCTCAACAAGCTCAGGGCAGACCTCAGGCTGGCATTTCCTAGGTAAGCCTTTCCCCTAACGAGTTCCTAGACCACAAGAAGGTGTTCCATTTCCTCGGTTGGTGTTTCCCCTAATAAGTGCTCAAGCTACTGCAAAGCTGCCTCGCTTATCGTCAGAGGTGCCGACACCTGGCCAGGTGTTGCTCCTCCAGTTTTTCCTGCTAAATACATAATAATGTAGCTAACGGGACGTGAACGGTTTGTTGTTGTCTTTGTTTTCCCTAATAAGTGCCCAGGTCACTGCAAAGATGCCTTGCGTATCATCAAAAATGCCGACATGAAGTGTTGCCACTCTGGTTTTTCCTGCTGAATTGTTAAATGCATAGTAATGTAGCTAACGGGTCGTGAACAGTTTGTTGTTGTCTTTGTTTTCCCTAATAAGTGCCCAGGTCATTGTAAAGATGCCTTCCGTGTCATCAAAAATGCCGACATCAGGTGTTTCCACTCTGGTTTTTCCTGCTAAATTGTTAAATACATAATAATGTAGCTAACGAGACGTGAACGGTTTGTTGTTGTCTTTGTTTTCCCTAATAAGTGCCCAGGTCACTACAAAGATGCCTTGCGTATCATTAAAAATGCCGACATGAGGTGTTGCCACTCTGGTTTTTCCTGTTGAATTGTTAAATGCATAATAATGTAGCTAATGGGACGTGAACGGTTTGTTGTTGTCTTTGTTTTCCCTACTAAGTGCCCAGGTCATTGCAAAAATCATCAGAGGTGCCGACACCTACCCAGGAGTTACTTCTTCAGTTTTTCTTGATAAATGCTCAATAATGTACGGAACGGTACAGGAACAATTTATTGTTGTCTTTGTTTTCCCTAATAAGTGCCCAAGTCTCTGTAAAGGTGCCGCCACCTGACCTGGTGTTGCTCCTCCAGTTTTCCTTACTAAATTACTAAATACACAATAACTTATCCAGAGGAACGTGAACACTTTCTTGTTGTACCTGGGTCGGTCTTCAGGAATCGTTTTGTTTCCACCAGACCGGGATTTTCTTGTTTCCTAACCCTAGCAGCGGGATTCTGTGTGATGTATCCAATGGACCGTGTTCCAATGAGCTAACAAAGTCAAAAGAACCTCAACCGAATTGATGTACAAAATCCCACCAAAGTGATGGTAAGAACGATTCCTTTCCAGTTTCGTCCAGGAATTTGCTTCGCCACCAGCTGACGGGATCACCCTTCTACTGGAGACTTTAAGGGGCGTCCAGCTGGCGCAAACTTTGCCACCTTCAGGGCACACAAGATCGAAAGTGAAGACCAGAAGAGCCGCTTTAGACGAGCTGGGATGCGTCGAGTGTCTGGTGGCCTGTGGAGAAAGATGTGCCGATGCTCCAAGACTTTTGGCTCAAGCACAACCCGGACTTTTGGCCCTAGCAGTTTGTCTGACCAGCAGCCTTAATCGCTCTCGGGTGTTGGCTTTGCAGGTGCGCATGATGCTTTGAAGTCCCCACCCAAAATGAAACAAGCGACATTGCTGAATCTCTTAAAATGAACCCCAGAAACTCTGATGGATCGCTAACCTTGATGCTTTGAAGTCCCCACCCAAAATGAAACAAGCGACATTGCTGAATCTCTTAAAATGAACCCCAGAAACTCTGATGGGTCGCTAACCTTGATGCTTTGAAGTCCCCACCCAAAATGAAACAAGCGACATTGATGAATCTCTTAAACTGAACCCCAGAAACTCTGATGGGTCGCTAACCTTGATGCTTTGAAGTCCCCACCCAAAATGAAACGAGCGACATTGCTGAATCTCCTAAAACGAACCCCAGAAACTCTGATGGATCGCTAACGTTGATGTTTTGAAGTCCCCATCCAAAATGAAATGAGCGACATTGCTGAATCTCCTAAAATGAACCACAGAAAACTCTGATGGATCGCTAACTTTGATGCTTTGAAGTCCCCACCCAAAATGAAATGAGCGACATTGCTGAATCTCCTAAAATGAACCCCAAAACACTCTGATGGGTCGCTACCCTTGATGCTTTGAAGTCCCCATCCAAAATGTAATGAGCGACATTGCTGAATCTCCTAAAACGAACGCCAAAAAACCTTGATGCTTTGAAGTCCCCACCCAAAATGAAATAAGCGACATTGCTGAATCTCCTAAAAGGAACCCCACAAAACTCTGGTGGGTCGCTAACCTTGATGCTTTGAAGTCCCCATCCAAAATGAAATGAGCGACATTGCTGAATCTTCTAAAATGAACCACAGGAAACTCTGATAGATCGCTAACCTTGATGCTTTGAAGTCTCTACCCAAAATGAAATGAGCGACATTGCTGAATCTCCTAAAGCGAACCCCAAAAAACCTTGATGTTTTGAAGTCCCCACCCAAAATGAAATAAGCGACATTGCTGAATCTCCTAAAATGAACCCCAAAAAACCTTGATGCTTTGAAGTCCCCACCCAAAATGAAACAAGCGACATTGCTGAATCTTATCTCATATCACCACAAGTGCCGGGATTTCTTTATCGCAGCTGCTGACGAAGGTCTGCCAATCTCCAATCGGACACGCGGCAGTATCCGAGGCAGTGTCATCCTTGAGACTGAAATATGGCGAAGGTGGGAGGTTCAGGTTCCTGGCAGGCTCGCTTTTGGCACCAAGAGCCGCAACCGCCCTTCGAGTTGCTGGGATTTCGTTCCTGAATGCTTTCCTCAAATCTGCTCCACGTGCACAGGCTAAATTGTACATACAGGTAGGCATCCATTTACCGAATCGCAACCTAACCTGAAAAGCAATTGCCTTTTTTACGAAAACTTGCAATTTTTTTAAGGAAAAACGAAAACATTACAAGACGAAAAAAAGTGATTTTTCAGTAAGCCCACTGCCATTTTCGTAAAAATCGGAGTTTCAAAAAATCCTTTGTTCATTTAGCAGTCCTTCTTGTGTGGAATGAGCCCTAAAAATTTGAAGCTGATCGGTGAAATACTTTTTTATGAGATATCGTGGTCACCGCAAAAGAAAAACTTTTTCAACGAACTGCTATACCTCGTCAATTTTTTTCTATATCTTGACAAAAAAATTATATATCAAGTTCAATAATTGTACTATGGAATTGCGCTCTGTTTTCGATTAAAAAATGCACTTTAGTGATGGAACAAAAATCCTGAATTTCGCCTATGACAATTGCATATAACCCCTTAAGGTTGTTTCCATGAGAATGCGTAAAAAATTCATGAACTTCTTTCAGGCAGAGGCTTGCGAGGCGGGGCTGGAGCCGAAGGCCCTCCAAGAATGGCTGACCGAACAAAAGGACCTGCAGGAAAAAGGGTTATCCGAACTGCTTCACCGAGAGGTCGAAGAATGGACGCACAACTGCGTGGACGTGGAGGCGCTCCAAAGTCGTGCGATTCAGGTTGAAGAGACCTGCCGAGTCCTCAGGAAGCAGATTTCCACCCTCCAAACCCAGATCCAGAAGTTGAGGTTAGAAAGCCGCAACGCGTACAACCTAGAAGACCACAACAAAAAGACCACCACCAGACAAAAGGGTCAAAAGTTGTCGTCCAACGTCGAAGACGAGGGCATCAGCTCCTCCGAGCAGTCCAGCAGCTCCGACGAGCTGAAGGAGTCGCACCAGGTCCACCTGAAGGGGACCGAGAACGACCAGGAAACGACCATAGACGACGTGATCGAGGAGCTGCGGATCATAGTGAAGGACGCCGAGCAGGAGTTCGAGGACAACAACACGAAAAACAAGAGCCAGGCCAGGGAGAAGTGCAGTTTCGCCTCGGAGCCTCCTTCATCCCACCTCTACAAGGACATCTACGCGACGGAGGTGATCTCCGGGTCCAGGGACTCCAAAGTGAACGGGGTGACCGCCAGCTCAATCCCCTCCAGCGACAGGAAGACGCCTCTGACTTACTTCGGCGGCCAGGAAGGCGACTACATCCTGAACCCTGGGCCCAGGAAAGCGAGCCTGGGTCGTTCCAACACCTCGGAGACGTCCAGCTTGAAGATCCTGGTCAAGGGCCCCGAGGAAGAGGTGGAGGACGTCATCGTACCGGCAATTCTGCACCCCCAGCCGCCCAAGAAGAGTTCTCCCTGCGTTCCCACCATCTTCGCGACCAGGGATTGCCTCTTCGCCGACCATGTAGAGCCGTACGATGAGGAAGTCGAGGAAGGCACTCTTGGGGACGGTAGCGATTCCCTTCTGAGCGCGTCCAGGCTTAAGTACACCAAGAAGGACGACCTGAATCCACATAACGACAACACCCAAGACAAGGTGGAGGGCTCAGGAGGAACTCACAGATTCAGGGACCTAGAGGAGACGAAGAGTGAGTTCCTCGTAAGCTACTCCTCGCTCAACTTCGACGGAGATGAGGCAACCCACCCCAAGGGCGAGAAAAAGACCATCAGAAACTACGACGGAGGAGTCTTTAAGCCCAGGAACGTGTCTGATCAACCAATAAACAAAGAACCCCAGCCCAAACAATATAAACCGGTGTCCAGGCAGCTCAGCGTTGTGCAAGTCGGAGAAAGGGTCCAGAGGAACGGGATGAAACATCTCAGCGAGGTCGAGAAAAGGAAGATGCTGAGGAGATTCTCCAGCCAGGACTTCCTGGAGGATGCCCACCAGCGGAAGACCGACAACAAGATCAACAACTGCATCAGGAAATTCGAGAGTCTCTCGACGTTTGAGAACGGCAGTCTGCAGAACTTGTCCAGGCAGAGCGAGGGGATGCCCCAAAGTCCATCCTGGACAGAATCCTCCAGATCCAGGATGAAGAGGTCGGAGTCTTTCCACCACGTCCCGTTCGCAGCGGGCAGGGACCAGTTGTCAACGAAAGGAGGAAGTGATAGTGGGTTTGTCTATGTCAGAAACACCAGCCAGGACCTGGTGAGGTCTGAAAGCTCGGGTTCCCCGAGCCTGGCGACCAAATCCTTGGACAGGATCGACGAGGGGCTGGACTCCATGGTGGACATCGTTATCACCAGGAAGGAACAGCGGAAGCAGCTGGCTAGGAGAGGTCGAGAGACTCTCTCCACGTCCTTCAGGGATCATCTGGACCCTGCCCATCAGGAAAAAAATGCGGTGAGGTTCGGGGATTCCCTCCTTGGACTCAATTTTCGGGATCAAAGGATCCTCGGCAAGGAGAACCTGGGACTGGGGAATGTCAATGGACTCTACGGCAATCATGGCGTGAAACCGCTGATGAATGATGAGCTCTATGAAAGCGATCCGGCAAGGCGATGCAAGAGGAAACCCTCCTCCAAGAAGACGCAGGACTTATTTGGAGAGGTTAGGAGGCAAGAGTCCTTCTCCAGGGAGAAGATCCTCTCCAGGTCAATCGAACAGGGAATTTTCATGCAGGTTGTCAAACCTTATGATGCGTTTGGCATTGGGAAGAGCCGGTCTAACGCCGGGAAGTACTCTGGGGATTATTTGCCAAAAGAGGGAGGGGTTCCTAGGGATATTTCCTCCAAGACTCCGGTGAAACGGGGGAAGGTCACGGACATACTTTCTGGACTCTATTGAGACTAGGTTTATTGTGTTTCTGCAAACTGAGAGGTCACTGGGCAGCTATAAAAGCGGATGACTACCACAAAACGTGGGAAATCCCTGGCGATTGTTTTAACGGGCAGTTAGATATTTGTAACCTGGATGGCGACGTTGGTGGGACTTTTTGATCTGGTTTTCGTTGATACAGATATGTCTGACATTTTAAATTTGCTCATGAGCTCTGGAAGAATGAATGCAATTTATCGCGTGATTTCTGCAGATTTTGGGATCATTAGGCAGCTATGAAAGCGTAATTTTTGCAGGTTTTGAGGTTATTAGGCAGCTATGAAAGCGTGATTTCTGCAGATTTTGGAATCACTGGCCAGCAATATAAACATGATTTCTGCAGACTTTGGAATCATTAGGCAGCTATAAAAGCGTAATTTTTGCAGTTTTTGAGATTATCACGGGCCAGTTGTGAAAGCCTGATTTTTGAAGATTTTAGAGCCACCAGCCAGCAATAAAAGCGTGATTTCTACAGATTGTTGGATCACTGGCCAGCAATAAAAACGTGATTTTTGAAAATTTTGGGATCATTAGGCAGCTATAAAAGCGTGATTTTTGCAGTTTTTGAGATTATCACTAGTCAGCTATGAAAGCCTGATTTTTGACAATTTTAAGACCACCAGCCAGCAATAAAAACGTGATTTCTGCAGATTGTGGGATCACTGACCAGCAATAAAAGCGTGATTTCTGCAGATTTTGGGATCATTAGGCAGCTATAAAAGCGTAATTTTTGCAGTTTTTGAGATTATCAATAGCCAGCTGTGAAAGCCTGATTTTTGAAAATTTTACGGCCACCAGCCAGCAATAAAATCGTGATTTCTGCAGATTTCGAGATCACTAGCCAGCTATAAAATCAAATGGCTACCACGAATCGTAAAAAACGCACACGGGAAGAAGATCCAATTTTCTACAAATGTTAAAAGACGAAGTAGAAGATCTGGGACTTCCCTTTTTTTCCACCATGACAAATCAGCTAAGCGTCTGGATTTTCTCCTGGGAGTTTCGTGATGGAACAGCTGACTGATTTTTCTGAAAGAAACATTCCCGGTATGTAGAGTTTCGCGCCAAGTACATTTGCAGAAAAATCTCTCTTTGCCGAGTGATGATTGATCGAACTTGGATGATGATGGGAAGAGGACCCAATTCTCTACAAATGTTAAAAGACGAAGTAGAAAATCTGGGACTTCCCTTTTTTCCACCATGACAAATCAGCTAAACGTCTGGATTTTCTCCTGCCAGGAAGTTTCGTGAGGGAACAGCTGACTCATTTTTCTGAAAGAAACTTTCTCGGTACGTAGAAACGGAATAGGAGCACTTGAAAGAACGCGTGGACCTTTTTCATGCCTTGTAAAGGTTTGACGATGAAGTCACCAGCCTTTTTATAGACACAAGGCCAGATCAAGAAGCGTTTTTAGGAAGCTGGTCCTTGCGAAAGAATCGCCGGAACACCTAACACCAGAGGAATCCTTTTTTTTCGAAGGACAACGCCTAAACGTCCAGAAAAAGGCACCGGAAATACTTACGAGAAAGGATAAAATCACTTTTTACCTCATACCAAACCCTGGAAATAATATCCTTCCCGTGAAAACCAAGAATTAAACTCCTTAAATATTATTAAAAAAAAAGTTCATATCAGAAAGACAATATTTCGAAACTTTTGTTCCGTTTTGTGCAGGGAATAATTTTAAAATTTAACACGTGATTATGGAGGCCCTAATGAAGGTCTTGAGACTCGGGAAATTTCATTTTTTCATGAAAAATTATTTATCCCGGGCACGAACCGAGAAAAATTTTAACGAAAAATGAAATTTCCCGAGTTTTAAGACTTTTATTAGGACCTCCTTAATCACGTGCTGGAGTTTCAGATTATTTGGTGTACCCAGTTTGGAAAAAAGTATTATTTATTAATATTTTGACGGTTTGGTGTATATAGACCCTTTCATAACTCCTTAAAACGGTTATAAAAAATATACCCTCACTTGTACCGAAGCCTTTTCATAACCTATAACACTCTCCTTTGCTTCAGTCAGGTTCAGAACACATTTGTCAATATTGACATTATTCGTCTTTATGATCTATGGATTAAAACGAATACTTTTAGTATACCGGCGAAATATCTCAGGGTTCGGCCTTCGGTTTGGTGTACAGGGCTGTAGCTGATAAACACGTCTTATCATATATGGTGTACATCGCGTATATATGCGAAATAAAGTTAATACATTGTGCAATATATTCTGCAGGTGAACAGTAGAAAATAAAATTCCTATAAACATTGTTTACGTTTGAATTTCCCGCTTCTGATCTTTCGGTTCCACAACTCTAGTTAATCGGCGTTTAAGTGATTTATAGCAAGTTTAAACCGGGTATAAACCTGCTGTAAACCAATTAAACTCCGGTTAACTAGAGTCATGGAACCGAATCTTAATATTACATTTACTAAATCTCCACCGTCGGTATTTATTCGATATTGAATTTAATAATTCCCCCATCAGGTTTTGTTGCTATAATATATACACACGTATATGTGTCAAAAGGAGGTTAGGCAGAGAAAGGAACCTTCTCATGACGCCATTTTCAGCTAAAAAAAGCACCTTACCACCATTACCTTATTAAAATCAATAAATTATTATAGATACAAATTCTCAGAGTTCTCTAAAATTCTCCTAAATTCTCCAAGGATTTTTAAATTCCCGTAACATCCTCGGTTTTATCCCTGGCATCGTATAATGGTACGTGTCCATGCTAAATGTGAACCAACTTCACCTTCGCGCCGCTAGATGGCGGCACATCATACATTTGCTTTGCGTAAGACCTATCCCCTCCACTACTATCCACTTCCCATCGATTCCTATACGTGACCGGCAGTAAAAAGAGAAAATGCCAACAAAATGTCGGTAAAGGTCGTCGATGGCGTAATCGCTCGAGATTAGTGCCTCACAAAATTAGGTCCGCTCCACCGACGTCGATATCGAGCCGCCCCTCCTACGTCTCCACCGCCGCGATCGGCGCGGCGAGTGTGTACACTAACGAACATAAATGTCTACCCATCATGGCCCAGTCTCACTGTCCACAGACTATGCATTCATGTCCATCAGTGTACATACGGACGCGGTCGGAGTCGAGTCGCCGATCCGCGTCCCTGGTATTTTTTCATACCAAGTCACGTGACTCCATAATCTCTGACACGCGTAAATTTTCACTTAACGGTAAAAACCGGTTTTCGTGATTCCTCGAGAAACGTGCGTCCCGACTAATTCGGTAAATTGAGGTTAGGTACGTAATCAGGTGCGGTTTTTGGCCTACCTGGAAACGTATATAACCTAAATGCGCTGATGCACTCTGGTATGTCTCGAGTGAGGTTAGGTCATTAATGAGAATTCTTTTTGGAGGTTAGAGGTAGTCAGACGACATAACCTCAACATCTTTACTCTTGTTTGATAACCGATGCCAATGAACTTAAATAATATTAACATTGATTTGAATAAATGTCTTAAAACGAGGTAAATGTTTTATCGAGTCAGGTTTGGATAAAGTTACTAAAAATAAAAAAATGATGTTTTAAAGGAATGAGTTTCTTGAATAATATTCCACGATATTCCACATGGTCAGGGATAAACATTGTTTACATTGAGATTAATCGTTATCAACGGGAATTCATTAACATACTTAATGTACATACGAGTGAGATTAATCTTTTAATTGCGCATGTTTTTCATGTTTCAGAGAAAATGTGGCACAGTTATTACTCCGACTTTTATGATATTTAGACAATGCATGTTATAATTACATTACGATACAAGGAAGAAATTTTTTAAATGCAATTTGGACGTTAATATGTAATTGAGATTATTCGGAGAGTCATTTACTGACACGATAATTCATTAACGCCTTATTAACGCTGATTGGGCAACAATACTTTGATTAAACGTCTACGTTAGTAAATAGTAAATAAGTGTACATACTGCGTAAATAATTAAATAATAATTACTCTGTAACTCGTGTTGCACATGGCGACATGAATTACTGCGATGAATTTCACAGAATTGTTAAACGATTCCCTCTTATCAAAAGAGATTATTAGAAACGTTCTACTAACATTTATGAATTTTTTATCTGGCATATTACAATTGCTGATTTCATGTTGTCGGAACTCAAAGCTCGTTAGGTAATTCTCAAGTTCGCAGGGATTAAAACATATTCGCAACCCACTAACCTACTTAAATAAGAATGAAAGTAAAGTAAAATTATGTTAATAATTGCGAGGCAGAGAGAGACAGGAATTAAACGGGGGATTTAAATTTCCGTTGGATCCCCTGCTACTTTCCGTTGGAACCGTCGCATGATTGGACAATCGCTATTTAAAATATCTCGATAACCAGGAATCTTTCGAAATTTTGCAAAAGGAACTTTTTCTTCAGTTTAAAACGGGGAACAAAATGGCCGATCGACTTTTGTAATTCTGATTTTAAAAAGCGAATTTTCAGGTTAAAATAATTTTGCATTTATCTTAAGCGCGAAACGAGCGAAATTTAAAATTCCTTGCTAAATGAGCAAATTATCGGTAATAAAATGAAGGTTTAAAATTTCCGTTGGATCCGCTGCTACTTTCCGTTGGAACCACCACCTCATTGGACAATCGCAAATTAAAATATCTCAAAAACCAAGAATCTTTCGAAATTTTGCAAAAAGAACTTTTTCTTCAGTTTCAAACGGGGAACAAAATGGCCGATCGACTTTTGTCATTCTGATTTTAAAAAGCGTGTTTTCAAGCAGATATAGTTTTGCGCGAAACGAGCGAAATTTAAAATTCCTTGCAAAATGAGAAAAACTGTTGGTAATAAAATGAGGGTTTAAAATTTCCGCTGGATCCACTGCTACTTTCCGTTGGAACCGTCGCATGATTACAAAACGCAACTTAAAATATCTCGAAAACCAGGAATCTTTCAAAATTTTGCAAAAGGAACTTTCTCTTCGGTTTAAAACGGAGAACAAAATGGCCGATCGACTTTTGTCATTCTGAATTTAGAAAGCGAGTTTTCAGGCGGAAACTGTCCGTGCGCGGAACGAGCGCAAGAAAGCCGCTCCAGTTTTTCCGGAGCGAACCGAATCGGCGGTCGAGAAGAATTGGTCGCTTGTTATGCGGCGAAGAAAAAAAAGGAAAAGAGTAGGAGGCACTTATCTCCGACTAGCGTTACGCGAAATGTACAGAGAGCCGGTGGAGAGGTGGACGGTCTAATGTAAGTCGGCATGTCGTCCACCAGGCCAGTCACAAATCCGACCGTTCTCCGATTCGACCGACTCTTTGCGCGATTGTGCACCGCAAAAGTGAATGGAGAAATTGCAAGGCATTTTCTTTCGTACTTATCGAAGCCGAAGAGATATCTGGCAGGTGCATAAATTATTTAAAATAGTATATTAATTTACGAATTGTGATTAATTTTCCTGGGGCAGGAAATAATTCGGTGCGACTTTTCTTTCGCAATTTTCATATCNTTCTGTTGTTTATTATACAAATATTGCTTAATAAGAGTGAACGTACTACGCCGCCATCTTGAAAGAGATTCAAGGAATTCGAAATTTAGAGTTGCGTGCAATATTTACCAGCGAAATTTCATGGTGTCTCTGAAATCATTCCCAGATTCGTGGAGAAAATATATTTGAAGTATCTGGAAATTGCTAGGCATTTTCTTTCGTACTTATCAGAGCCGAAGAGATATCTGACAGGTGCATAAATTATTTAAAATAGTATATTAATTTACGAATTGTGATTAATTTTCCTGGGGCAGGAAATAATTCGACGCGACTTTCTTTCGCAATTTTCATATCGGTTAGGATGGAAAGTGTATAAATGTTTTATATACCAAAAATTATACCAAAAAGCTTGGTAGAGTTTCGCGCCAAATATATTTGAACGAAATGCAGGTAGAGTTTCGCGCCAAATACATTTCACGCGACTTGGACACTGCAAAAGTAACTGGAAAAATTGCTAGGCATTTTCTTTCGTACTTATCAGAGCCGAAGAGATATCTAACAGGTGCATAAATTATTTAAAATAGTGCATACATTATTTTAAATAGTCCATTCATTATTTAAAATAGTCCATAAATTTACGAACTGTGATTACTTTTCTTGGGGCAAGAAATAATTCGACACGACTTTTCTTTCGCAATTTTCGTATCGGTTAGGATGAAAAGTGTATAAATGTGACGAATTATACCAAAAAGCTTGGTAGAGTTTCACGCCAAATATATTTGAACGAAATGCAGATAGAGTTTCGCGCCAAATACATTTGACGCGACCTGGACACTGCAAAAGTAACTGGAAAAATTGCTAGGCATTTTCTTTCGTACTTATCAGAGCCAAAGAGATATCTGACAGGTGCATAAATTGTTTAAACAATTTGCACGACTTGTGATTAACAATTCCTGCTGAGGCAGGGAATAATTCGGCGCGACTTTCTTTCGCCATTTTCATATCAGTTAAGGCGGAAAGAATGTGTAAATATTTTGAATTATGTAAAGAAACATGGTAGAGCTTCCCGCCAAGTACATTCTACGAAAAATGTTTCTTAACAAGAAATTTGGTAGAGTATCGCGTCAAATGTCCGCAATTACACAATTGTGCATGAAATTACGCTATTGTGGTACAAAATCGCATGATACTGGCAATGATCTCGTCTTAATTGAACCTATTGACAAATTAACCTCTACAAGTGTTATTCAAGCACGTGATTCTTCCATTGAATGGACCATTAAATAAAAACCCACTTTGCAGACAATACGACGTCAAGGAACTTTCGCAAACCAACATTATGTCAATTAATGACACTTTCAATTCCTACAATCCCTTTTTAAAATAAAATCTTCAACAACAAAAACTTCAAGCTTCACACACATGGAAATTTCTACGCAAATATAATTGAAAACTGTTCTTAACATTCAATTGTTTTCAACGTTTACCTTTTACTTCATTCGCGCATTAAAGTAAATATTAAGAAAAATCATAAACAATAACTGACTTAACAAAATATTCTCGAAATTGGGATAAATATATATAAATCCAGATTTTCTTTCGAAATGTTCATAATAATAATTCAAGCTTGAGCGTGTAAAAAAAAATAAACGAATTTAATAATCGTTATTTTTTGTTCTCCCTTATCGCATGGCATTTTCTTATTCGAAAATGTCAAAGGAAATCTCGAAGCACGACATATCGTGCTCGTGGCCTAGAAAGGTGAAATTCATGTAGTCGATTTGCGTAACAGTTGCAAATAAAAAGAGAAGGTCGTTGAGCAGGTAAACCTCTGCAACAACATCCGCCATGGAAATGCATTCCTCAATGCTTCGACCCTGTCTTCCATTTTCTGCCATTCCGGATAACTTAGCTCGTTATCGTTAACAAAAACCCCATGGAAGACATTTAAACCTTTCCTTGAACGGACTCAGACTCGTGAGACATAAAAAGGCCGCACAAGAAAACCTGAGTGTTCGCTCTTAAGCCGCCATCTTGAAAGACGCTCTAAGCTAACCTACCCCATGAAGTGGAATATACGTAAATTAATCCTCTAAATAAGGTCTATAGGTATAGCAAATGTATATCGTCTATCATTCACCTAAAAAAATATCTAAAGGATATACGAGGGCTGTCTCAAAAGTAAGTTTCACTATTTTTTTAAGGTGAAACACCCTTCAAATCAGTCGATTCGAATACAACACTTTTTTTTAAGGGTATTTGAACAAACTGTCCGAAACTTTCTTGATTTCTTCGAAATCAATTCTGGATTCATTTAAAAATATATTTCAAGTATCTTAATCGCGTTTCTGTTGTTTATTATACAAATATTGCTTAATAAGAGTGAACGTACTACGCCGCCATCTTGAAAGAGATTCAAGGAATTCGAAATTTAGAGTTGCATCCAATATATACCAGCGAAATGACATGGTGTCTCTGAAATCATTCCCAGATTCGTGGAGAAAATATATTTGAAGTATCTGAATCGTGTTTTTGTTGTTTTTTCAAACAGATATTGCTTAATAAGAGTGAACGTACTACGCCGCCATCTTGAAAGAGATTCAAGGAATTCGAAATTTAGAGTTGCGTGCAATATTTACCAGCGAAATTTCATGGTGTCTCTGAAATCATTCCCAGATTCGTGGAGAAAATATATTTGAAGTATCTGAATCGTGTTTTTGTTGTTCTTTCAAACAGATATTGCTTAAACGAAACGAACGTCCAATTAATGTGCCGACATCTTGAAAAAAGCTTTCAGAGATGAAAAATTCCTATTACACGTATAATTTACTATAAAAATTCTTTGATTCTCTAAAATCATTAACAGATATATTCAAAAATTCGTTTTAAGTATCCAGAGTGCTTTTCATTTCGTTCTTTTTCTTACCAAATGTCGCTTAAGCATGATGAACAAAAAATTACTGCGCCGCCATCTTGAATAAAATTCTGAAGGTTTAATGAATTCAAGCACAGCCAATATTCCTACATTTCCAGGTTTAAATTTAGTAATCATAGTACATTATATTAAATATAGTCCCTCATATGGCATAAAAATGTCTTTTTGTGGCAGGCAAAACCGATGTCGATTTTTTTAAGGAACATCGAAATGGATTACAAGTTTCTTCACAAAGATTGAGACTCAAGACGACTCTACATAAGTGAGGCCACTGATAGTCCAAAACTTCAGGTGAAAACTATTTAATACTTTAAATTATTACATATATTCAAACTCTATGAAAAATAGAAAATCCAAAATACTTTTACGTTTTTATTTAACCCTTTTAGCGCTTGTAAAATGGCGTCATATCATTGACTGTCACTAAAAGGGTTAAAATACAAACTAAAAAATGCTATTTTACATTTAAGATGCATTTCAAATGGATTCGATTGAGATAATTACCCAGCTCTGCACATACTGGGTGGATGCATAAGTAATGACATTTTTTAATACGTAGCGTAACGTATAAAAACACGTCAATACTTATACATCCACCTAATAGAATTTGTTGGTGAAAAGCGTAAATGCGTTTTCCTATAACTTCAATCTTTCTTCCAGAAGACAGGGGACACCAAAATGGCGGTCAAGGAGAAGCCTCGATTAAAGACGAGCGTAAATTTCCGGAAGCTCGTTAAGAAACGAGTTCCGATTTTCTCCTGGCTTCCGCAATACGACTCCGAAAAGTTCTTCAGCGACATAATCGCCGGCATTACGGTCGGCCTCACTGTAATCCCCCAAGGACTCGCTTACGCCACTTTAGCAGGTCTAGAACCTCAGGTGAATAAATAACCGACCTAAATACATATATTTTACGGAATTCCGCTAAACTAATAGATCACCGATGCCGGCATATATTCCTTGCCAGAAGCCAGACCCTGAATCCGCAAACAAAAAATCCCCAACGCCGTTAACTTGCCCGCAAATCGCGTTTCAATCGCTGAGGTGAGACCTAGTGGGCGTGGCCTGGAGTGACCTTGAGCGGCGCAGCGCTGCGATTGGCTGGCGCGCCGGTCACGTGCTACGGAACTAAACGGCGTTTTGTAGCCGAATTAGCCGCTCGATTCAATTCGCGCAAAGGGATTAATTGTTCAACTTTTTTCGGGGAATGCTGTTGCGCGATTATTAACCCCAAATTTTGAGGTTTTACGAACTTAAGATGAAATTTTTCTCTTTTTCGGGGTTCTTTCTTTTTTCACGTTTCTTAGGTTTATGTGATTTGCTATCTTTTCGCAGTATGGCCTCTACTCCGCTTTTATGGGCGCCATGGTGTACGTCCTTTTCGGCTCCTGCAAGGACATCACCATTGGTCCTACCGCACTGATGGCTTTAATGACCCATGAGTATGTTCAAGGTCGAAATGTTGACTTTGCCATACTTTTGGCATTCCTGACCGGATGTATGCAACTATTGATGGCTTTCTTGAGGCTCGGTATGTTTTATCGCCAAAACACAATATTGTCTGACTTCTTTAGTATTTCATAGCTTAAGGTATTTTGAAAATAGCATCAAAGAGATCTCGTTTTTAGCACTTTTCTCCTAACTGGGTGCACCGAATCGTTTCAAACTTTACAAAACGAATGTAGAGGCTATAAGGGAAGTTCCGACACCCGTGAAATTTTAATTTTTTTTACAATTTGTTTATAAATATTTTTCAAATTTTTATCTTTGGAAAATATTTTGTTTTATAGGTGTACTTATCGATTTCATATCGATACCAGTGACGGTGGGCTTTACGTCGGCAACATCGGTGATCATCGTCGTATCCCAACTGAAAGGGTTACTGGGTCTGAAAATCACGGCTTCAGGGTTTCTCGAAACCCTGGCGAAGGTTTTCCAAAATATAGGACACGTCAACCTCTGGGACACTGGGATGAGTTTGTCATGCATCATCGTTCTCTTACTTTTTAGGGTAATTATGTCATGCATCCCTCCAATTCCACAATTTATGCTCATATTATACAATAAAAACGATTAATAAGTCCGACGACGATGATACTGGTGATGATGATGATTATGACGATGACGATGACGAATATAATGAAGGTGACGACGATAATGATAACAATACTGACTATCAAATTACATTGCTAGCGTCACAATATTCATTATGACTATAATTAAGTTCAGTACAGACGATTAAAAATATTCATCGTGATGATGACGATGACGATGACGAATATAATGAAGGTGACGACGATAATGATAACAATACTGACTGTCAAATTGCATTGCAATCGTCACAATATCAATTATGACTATTATTAGATGGAATAAAGACGATTAAAAATAGTCATCGTGATGATGACGATGACGAATATAATGAAGGTGATGACGATAATGATAACAATGCTGACTATCAAATTGCATTGTAAGCGTCACAATATTCATTATGACTATAATTAGGTTCAATACAGACGATTAAAAATATTCATCGTGATGATGACGATGACGATGACGAATATAATGAAGGTGACGACGGTAATGATAACAAAACTGACTATTAAATTGCGTTGCAAGCGTGACAATATTCATTATAACTATAACAATATTCAATAAAGACAATGTATTATTATGATTATAATCATCATCGTCATCGCCACCATCACCGTCATTGTCATTGTCACTTTAACTGTTGTTATTATTATTACTATCATTCATCAGATACATCATCATCATTATTATTACTACAACGACTATAATAATCATGATAACAACGAATACCATAAACTTTTCCAGAAAATGAAAGACCTGCGACTATGCAAACGTGGAGAGAAGCCAACGAGACGTCAGCAAGTGGCTATGAAGACAATATGGCTGACCTCGACGGCAAGGAACGCGATAATAGTCGTCGTCTGTTCGACTATCGCGTACAAAATGGAGGGCAACAGCAGAGCACAGGCGTATTTCGCCCTGACGGGCCCCGTTAAATCCGGACTTCCGCCCTTCGGGCTGCCGCCGTTCACCACGGAAGTGCGGAACAGGACCCTCGGCTTCCTGGAGATGTGCACCGAGCTGGGCCCCTCGATAGTCCTGGTGCCGATAATCGGAGTCCTCGGGAACGTCGCCATAGCCAAGGCCTTCGCCAACGGCGATAACGTCGACGCCACCCAGGAGTTGCTGACTCTGGGGATCTGCAACGTCCTCGGGTCCTTCGCCAGCGCCATGCCGGTCACCGGGTCCTTCAGCAGATCCGCCGTGAACCACGCAAGCGGCGTCAGGACGCCCATGGGGGGCATCTACACGGGGCTCCTCATACTCCTGGCTCTGAGTCTGCTCACTCCATACTTCCATTACATTCCGAAAGGTTCGCATGCATCTCGCAAGGGTGTTGGAACATCACCTTAACCCTTTGAGCGCTGTCGACGCATATGTGCGTCCGACGTTTGGTCGAATATCCCTAGTACGCCCTGACGAAATTCGCCCTTACGCCGAAAGTACTTAGCGCCCAAAGGGTTAAGGTGAAGTGCCCCCCTGAAATCCCAATTATTTCCCTCCTATTTCTCGGATCACGATGATCAGCTGTTCTCATTTTGTCCTTCCAGCTTCCCTGGCCGCGGTGATCATTTGCGCCGTAATCTACATGATTGAGTACGAAGTCGTCAAGCTGATGTGGCGCTCCAGCAAGAAGGATCTAATCCCGACTTTTGCTACCTTCGTCTTCTGTCTGATCATCGGAGTGGAGTACGGAATCCTGGTGGGAGTCAGCATTAATCTCATGTTCCTGCTCTACCCTTCTGCAAGGCCAACGATCCACGTCGAAAAGTGTCTCGTAAGCCCTCCACCGTGAAACGCGCGGAGTAAAAGAGGCGACATAGGCTATCCAACCTAACCTAACCCTTTGTTTCTTTTTTTTACGAGGAGAAAATCCCTAACGGACTTGTGTAGGACTTGCACCCACTAAAAACTCCTCGGTGGCCACTTTTGACGATCCACGTCGAAAAGTGTCTCGTAAGCCCTCCACCATGAAACGCGCGAAGTAAAAGAGGCGACATAGGCTATCCAACCTAACCTAACCCTTTGTTTCTTTTTTTTACGAGGAGAAAATCCCTAACGGACTTGTGTAGGACTTGCACCCACTAAAAACTCCTCGGTGGCCACTTTTGACGATCCACGTCGAAAAGTGTCTCGTAAGCCCTCCACCATTAAACGCGCAAAGTAAAAGAGGCGACATAGGCTATACAACCTAACCTAACCCGACGTTGCCCCTGCGTTGCCGACGTTCGTTTTTATATTAACAGCTATGTCGAATTATATTGTTTATTGTACCAAATGGCATACTCCACCTGTCGTTTTCGTACAATAATTATAAAGAAATCGAAGTAAAACTCCAGAAATCCTCTGGATTCATGATTTCTGGGGCCCTAATTGACTGCAGAGAGACCCCCTGCGCCATCTGCGAATTCCAGGTCAATTAAATTTTCACTCCGAGACCTCGTATTCCCATCGTTTTAGCATACAAGCGCATACAACACTTTTTTTGCCTTTATCCCATTCAAATGCGAGTTTATCGATTACCAGAGTGTTCTAAATTGTCGTAAAATTCTCCTGACCCTTTCGATTCTCATATCAGAGCCTTCGATAATTGTATATCGATCGATATACGCGTGCTCGACGCCATTTTGGTTCTGGTCTGGGCTAAGTTAATACATTTTTTTTTTTAACCAAATTTTCAAAGTGTCAGGATAATTCCTAGGTGTTCACGAGTCATGTGTTTAAAGTTTCGGATAATACCCTTAAAAAAAAAGTCTCTTATTCGAGTCTACTGATTTGAGGAGGGTTTCACTTAACCTTAAAGTACCTCGAGTAGAGCCGCGTATTATAATTCCTTTTTTTTTCTTTTTCATTTCAGACAGAGGCCAACGCAGAATATTTATTAGTGACTCCCGGAAACAGTATGTATTTCCCTGCTATTGACTTTATCAAACAATGTGTCGGCCAAGCAGGCAGAAAAGAAGGTTCCAGCCAACTTCCGGTCGTTGTCGACTGCCGATACGTTTTAGGAGCTGATTTTACAGCTGCAAAGGTATGCAAGAAAATTTCAAAGGAACAATAATTCTCTAGCATTTTTTAATACGACTTGAAAAGTAAATAAGCGCATCTGAAGTATCAGTAAAGAACTCGGCAGAGTTTCGCGCCAAATACATACGCACTTGCACATTTGAGTAAATACCCAGGCACCGCAGAACATGGAATATTCGTAAATTAATAATAATAAATAAATATATATTTTATATGCGTAAAGAAATAAGTGGATATTTGTAGATCAATAGTGGATATATAATTTTCATCTACAATAGACGTAGATATTTATATATATCCTTTAGATATTCTTTTAGGTGGATGATAGACGATATACATTTGCTATACCTATAGACCTAATTTATACGATTAATTTACGTATATTCCACTTCATGGGTTGCCTGGGTAAACGAATCGGTATTAAAAATGAATTGAATAATTTCTTAGGCTGTGCAAATATTTAATAAGTTATTATTTCTCCCCTAGGGAATCTCCGCTCTGATAAGCGAATTTAAGAATCGCAAACAAGGACTCTACTTTTACAATCCTCGATCGGACGTTGTTGCAGTAATGAAAGGAGCCTGTGGGGAAGACTTCCAATATGTTTCCACGCAAGAGGAATTATCTTACTTGCTGAATGCAACTGCAGGTAATTAAATATTATCTTTCACTTTGAATTACCAATTGAAGTAAAGAAACCCAGAATTTGAGGCGCATGAACTTGTCTGTGACGCAACCACTTCTCTTTACGTAATGCATAAAATTGATCGTTCACCTTTTATTTTATCATTAATATATGAATTTATTAAGTACTCCTCATAACCATTCTTCAATTAATTTCAGACAAATTATGAACATTTACCTTCTCGTAACCATTCTTCGATTAATTTCAGACGAATCATAAACATTTTCCTCCTCGTAACCATTCTTCGATTAATTTCAGACAAATCATGAACATTTTCCTCCTCGTAACCATTCTTCGATTAATTTCAGACAAATCATGAACATTTACCTTCTCGTAACCATTCTTCGATGAATTTCAGACGAATCATAAATATTTTCCTCCTCGTAACCATTCTTCGATTAATTTCAGACAAATCATAAACATTTTCCTCCTCGCAACCATTCTTTGATTAATTTCATACGAATCATAAACATTTTCCTCCTCGTAACCATTCTTCGATTAATTTCATACGAATCATAAACATTTTCCTCCTCGTAACCACTTTGCTTTTAATTTCAGACAAATCAAGGGAGCTCCAGATTCCACGAGACCCTTCAAATCTGCCTCTAATGGCGATTAATTGCGATCTAATCCACCGAAGTGTTCATTCTTCATGCCACGATCTCAGCGAAGTGACTTCGACATTATTGCATGCGACACAAAGCTAGGATCTAAATTAAGGACTTTTTAAATCATATAGCAAGACTCGTAGACATTATTTAATTGAATAAGAATATTTAAACCTTTGTGCTCTCATTTTTTTTTATATTTAGAGTGTCTCAGACCTTGAGGACAAAAAATATATGGCGATAATCTCTGTTTAATTCTGAAAAGGAATGTCCGATGCAAACTTGACTCCGAATTGTAGTTTCAAACACTGCAGTAGTTTAAGACGAAATGAAGACGGTTCGGTACAATATCCGTAGGAAAAAAGTGTCTTATTCGAGTCGACTGATTTGAGGGTTATTTTCACTTAACCTTAAACTACTGTAGTTTTAAAACTACAATTGGAATCCAAGTCTGCGTTAGATATTATTCTTCAAAATTAAATAGATTTTATCGTCACGTATTTCTTGTTCACGAGGTCTGAAACACCCGGCATATATTTTAAACTTCACATGACTCAATCTCGCTCTCTATTCATTATCTCAGGTTGCTCAAAGGCAAATCGTTAAACTGAACGCACTGCGGAGTAAAAAAGTTCCATTCCTTCGAATATATTTTTCATTCGTAGTTAAGCGTTTCCTTTAACCGTAAGAAATGTTTACCAAATTCCAATTTGTACATGACTTTTTGTGAATAATTCCTTAATGAACATTGCAGGAAATTGTAAAGGCACGAGCAAAACTTAATACGATTGTTTTTCTAGATGAATACAACAGAGTATTATTTATTTAAAAAAACGGTGTCATAATTTCTCTCAATAATTATAAAGGAATTAAAAACGAAACTCAAGAAATCATAAATTAAAGAGGAACTATTTTCAGCTAAAACGTACCTTGATTTTATGAATATTATTTATTGGAGGTAATAAATTATTTTTAAAACTTAATTTAAATAGAAGTTTTCCAGGGATCTTTAAATTACCGTAACATTTTCGATTATACTACTCGAAATTAAACTCTTTAAAATTTATAGACACTGCCGTTTTATAACAATTTATAAAACCGATACAAGGACCGGTTCCACAATTTGAGTTAACCCGAGTTTAAGTGGTTTACAGGAGGTTTAAACAGTGTATAAATCAATTAAACTCGAATTAACCAGAGTTAAAGTGGTTTACAGCAGGTTTAAACCGAGTGTAAACCAAATAAACGCAAGTTAACCGGAGTTTAATTAATCCACGGCAGGTTTAAACCTCGTATAAACTGGTTAATCAGAGTTTAAGTGGTTTACAGGAGGTTTAATCAGTGTATAAATCAATCAAACTCGAATTAACCAGAGTTAAAGTGGTTTACAGTAGGTTTAAACCGCATATAGACCAATTAAACGCAAGTTAACCGGAGTTTAATTAATCCACAGCAGGTTTAAACCTCGTATAAACTGGTTAATCAGAGTTTAATTGGTTTACAATAGATTCACACCCGGTGTAAACAAGTTGTGGAACCGGACCTAAATGTACTAATGATTAACTACGTCTCCATCGTACTCAAAATCCAGGATTTGTTAAAACCAAACCTAGTAAATCCGAATTTAAGAGTCGATCGAATCTGCGTATTTATTAATGCGATAGCGACGTACGATTTACTGAATATCCAGATCCGATAAATCCCGGATTTAGGAGCACGATGGAAACGTAATCATTTAAACCGTGGACAAAAATTTTGTTACACCTTGTATACTTTCTTTGCTTTCCTTAGCGTCCATAATCGATCAACTTCAAATTCATCTAACTATTAAACAAACTAAATTGCCAACGTGTCAAAATTTGTCAAAATTTTCAAATTCTTGAAACATACATTACAGTTATCAAAGACTAATGCCTTCGGAGAGACTAACTAACTTAGTTACAACTAATAGTCTTAATTACTAAAGTAACCTGCTTGGTTTAGTAAAGGAGGAAGAAATTAAGTGAGGTTATGAACACCCTTATATTTCCTAATACAGTAAATCCGTTCTTTTAGAATTCTGCTATGATCTCGATAAAGTCTCGACGCGAAAAAGCTTCCTCGAAAACGTTCACGAAATCCCCACCAGGGAGAAATAAAACCCTAGGGAATTTCGAGGTCGACACTCCTGGGGGAAAACCCTTGGAATTCCCTAGCAGACTTTCTCGGGAGAGTTTCTCCTTCTCGTCTAGACGGCAGATCTTATTCCCTAAGGATTCAACGCGAGGTGGAAGTTTTTCAAAACGCAGCAGTGAAAAACTTAAACTCCAGGGACGCCACAAAAGGTGAGATATCAGACAGAAGTTTCATGAAAATCGCCATAAAAAAGAAATTCCTCTACGTTTCAGGAAGTCTAATCCTTTGGAAACTCCTGAAATTCGACTCCAAAAGGACGAAATATCCTCCGGAGATTTCGGAAGAAGTGGCGCCACTGGCGCGCGGAAGAGTCGAGAGTTAAACGGTTCTCAAGACGCGACAATTGGCGAACCACTTTCGAAATTCATGAAAGCAACCCTGAAAACTCATGAAATAGACACTAACGTCCAGAGCGCTGTTCATGAAAACGAAAAAGAGAAAAATGTAACCCCTTCGCACAATTTAAAAAAAAATTCTGGAAGAAAAATCGAAAATGGCCTGAGTAAATTGAAAGATTACATAAGCAATGACGGAGTACCAACTGTACAATCAATTGTTAACGCTGTACATGAACAAAAGAAAGAGAAGGATACAAATTGCCGGAATAATTTTGGGAAAAATCCAGGGAAAAAAATGGAAAATGATTTTAGTACTTTTGGGAATTTGGGGATTCCAACTATACAGTCAAATAGTGGCGCCACCATTAACAAAGTGCCAATAAAGAATGTAAACAACGATGTCAATCATTCTTCCGAAAGAGATGTGAGGTTCTTGTATAAAGACAAAGACAAAGGAGACATCTCGCCGACATATTCCTGGCAGGATGCGGAAAATTGGACGCCGCCATTGGAACGTTTAAAAGGTTACGAGGACTTTTACGAGCTTCTAGGAAGATCTAAAGAGGAAAGAGAGTGTCGCGTCAAGTACTCCTGGCAGGTAGAGTTTATAAATTGCCAAGCCCTACCTTAGCGCCTCCATATTCCTGTGGGAAAATTTGAAACTAATCGGTACCCCCAATCCAGAGAATACTTTCTCCAACGATTTGACTTCTCATATATGTGCCCATAATTATGAAAATGGTCTAAGTCATATATTTTTTGCTTCGAAATTACATTGAATTAATTTCGTTTGAAATAATATGGCGTGAAATAAATGATAAACTCATTTTTTTTTTTAATTTTGACTTAGACCACTTTCATAATTATGGGCACATATATACA